TTACTATTTTAGTAAATCACCTAACAGGGAGTAATAAACTATTGAAGACTCTCTCTGACACTTTCAATCACAAGTAGTTTATTGACCTTGGTCTCATACTGGAAACACCAAATTAGACCTTGTAGCCAAATGTGTCTCAAACAGCACGGATGTTCCAATCATCTATAAAAAACAGACAATTGACTATTTCTGATAGTTTATTATGAATATATAAAATAATACCTAAAATGGCTAGAACATAACATCTCAGTAGCTAACTTTGCTTTTCAAAATTCTACAGAAAACTGGCCAAAAAACAAGCAGCAAGTATACTCCTCTTTTACAAATTTCTAGATTTTCAAAAAGGGAGAGGGGTTCACTTCAGGTCTCTTATAAATAGATAAGCACAAAACATGGGATATAAATCTCAGTCATACTGCTTTATTTTTATGCTGGTGCTTACATAAATTCTGATATAAGTATCAGAATAATAAAATTCCTCCCAATACATATAATAAAGTGATACATTACGCTGAGGCTAAGACTTTAATAAAGTTAAGATTCTAAGTAGTAATGCTTTCTAGATGGAGAACATTTACGTTTCTAACATATAAATATATTATTTAAAACACTTAAAACTTCAAAAGTAAAGGAAATCATTTACCAGGTTGGTGATAAAACTCATTTGAAACCAAGATCAACTTTCCAACTTTCCTGACAACAAATCCTTTGATTTAAACATGGTGATTTCATTTATTTGTCAGTGAAAAGGGCACAGTGCCGGTATGCTGGTATACATATACGAAAATAATGATGGCTTGGATTATTAAAAATGAAGTGCATTTTGAAAGAAGAAAAATACTCAAGAGAATATGATTAGGAGAAAAATATTATTACTTCTCTCTACTTAGCCATATGCATATAACCTATACTGCCAGAAGGATTTGGGAGTGTTGACCTAGAATTCACATTACTTTCACAACTCCAAGATTACATGTTAACAAAACTAAATGGTGTCAATTACTTGCTACTCTAATATGAAATGTTTAATTTACAAGTCCCTACAAGAATTGAGAAAATCCAAAGAAAACATATAATTAGGTTAAAGTTTAGAAAATCCTTGAAGACTTACATAGATACTTTTTCGCCTTAAGAGAGTAACCTTTTAAATTGATGATACTCAAACCATCACAGAAGCAAAGCAGCAAGTAAGGAGAATCAGTATTCCTGAAAGGGTGTTAGTTATATTTGTTGTTGTATTATTTAACTATTGCATCAATAAAGCCACCCAATAGGAGACATGTTTAATTATCCTAGCATCATTTTGGCAAATAGTCAAAAGAATCCAAGAAGAACTTTCAATAAACCCACAGTGTTTAAAAGAATACTCTTATTGGAAGCACCAAACTGTTTATGGCATGCTTCAGATTAACAGGCATGTTCTTAATATTAAGTCGAGTCTCTCTTTATAAGTATAGCTATTAAGGGAGGATGTAAATAAAGTTTTATTACTAAAAGTCTTTTTTAAAGTTACTTAAAAGCTTTTCACATTCTTAAAGAAATTGAGGACAAATAATTGTATTCTTCTTGAGTTGGATTACTCAAAGTTGTAATGAAAGTTTGAATTCATTACTCAAAGTAATTTAGTAACAGTATTTAGTTATTTAGTTTAGAATTCAGGATAACATTAAAAGGATCATTCTATTATTCACACTTTTAGGTAAAACTTTTATAAGTTTTCAAATTTTAGAAATACAGAAGATGTACTTAGACAATATTATATATTTCTGTTCAGACTGATAGTTCTCAGTTGCACAGATCTGTGCTAACTGAACAGGTAAATTCAGTTTGGCCCACTGCCCAATAAATACTACCAACTAAAAAGTTACCAGCATTTGAAACTGAATATCCACTTCCCAGAAGTGAAGACCTGGGAACACAGATTCTAACAGTAAAACTATTTGGACAGCACATAAGTTTGATACTTTTTCCTAGGAAAACTAGATCTACAGATGCTTATGGTATCAATGAAGAGGCAATAATGAAACTCAATGTACCAGATAAACTCCTATCAGTTACACAAGTTACTTGCAACACAAGTTATACAATAAGATACTGTACTTAATCCCTGTGATCAAGATAATATTTAATTCTAGTTTTGCCTAAACATAATTTCAAATTGAATCCATTAATATAAGCTAAAATGGATTTACTTCAGACACAGTATCCAATATTATCAGCTTAATGTGTCCCCTGAACTTTTCTTCTAAGAGAAAAATTAAAAATCTATTTAAATTGCAATTCAAGTTGTTTATTTTCAAGAGATTGAAGTCTTCTGATTATATTACTAGTTTAGCAAATTCTTAACACACATGTTCTATATAAAGCCAAAAGGTATGGCTTGCTTACTTTACAAAATAACATATGTGAAATGTATAACATTGAATATATAAAATTTAGTAACCTCATGCAAATTTTCTGAAATATTTTCTCACTACCATTTGTGATAAACTGTTCATTTTTCACTTTTAAATTACTTATTTTGCATTTGGTCCCTTTTAAATTGAATCCAAGTTAACTTTTCTTAATGCTTCAAGAAAGCACCATCTTATTCAACATCTCAGAGATACAACTGCCTACTAGTACCTACTTTTAAAATGATATTGTTTTAAGGTAAGTTTTACTGTGATAACATACCAACATAAATGTGCTCATAAACCCCTAAGAATATTAAATGTTAGGGCTGAATCTTTTGGGGGTGAGGAGGTACATCATTCTTTCTTTTGGACATTATCAAACTGATAATGATCAAATAGAAAAGGTATTTCTGCAAACCTCACATTAGAATACTGACTTAAAAATACTCTTGGTATTTTAAAATTCTACAGATTAACTTTGTCTGGGCAGGTTCAAAGCCTCAGTGGCATCCTGAGCAGGAGAGTTCTCTGCAGGCAGGGCAGATCTATTAAAAAACATGACCTGTGACAAAAATCAATGTGCTAATCTCAAACCAAACAACAGTATCAAAAGCATAAAACAGAGATAACCTAAGATAAAATGTCCTCAAACTAACTCAGACTAGCTTGGCAGATTAAGGGGGGTTAGAGTAAGGGTGTTGCTGGTTCTTTCTGTTTTAACCCAGGGAGACTGGAACACCCAAGTAACCAAATAAATGAATACCACGAGAAAAAGATTACACTGTGAAGTGGGGGGTGGGGAGGAACCGAGAGAAAAATGTCCCACATTTAATAAATGATTTCACTGTTGCTTTATTTAATAAGGTGATAAAGTTTAGAAATATAAATTTGCTTCATATATGCTGTCTAATAAAGCCCAAAAGGGAATAAAACCGACCAACATAATGAGACCTGCTTTTAACACCATCACAACTGGAAAGCTTGCTCTATTTGTCTTGTCAGCTTTAATAAAAGGCATCTCCTCTGGCGGGATGGCTTCTCTCTTTTCCTAATAGTGGTAAGTGGCATGTCAAAGAAGAAATAGCTTCCCATTCCACCACCCACCTCAATGAGAGTTTTTAAAAAGAAAAAAAAAAAACCGAACTTTCAGGATCTCTCCACTTCTGCTAGGCGGTGCATTGGGTTACCTGGTGTGACTATCCTGGATTAGCAGGGCGGGGGTGGGGGAAACTCCCTGTCGGTTCGGCAACTGGAGGATCGCTCGTGGGGAAATCTGCCCATCTTCATCTGAGCTGACACTACTCGAGCGGGAATCCCTCTCTTGCCCGTACACCAAAGGAAGGCTGGAGGCCGGCGGAGACAGGAAGAGCTGGAGGCGCCCACCAGCCCCTCTCCCCAGGAGCGCTCGGCCTCCCTCTTCTTTCCTCCCAACTTCCACTCCAGCCCAGGGAAAAACCCGTGATTTGAGATACAATCGATACTGTTTTCCTCCTAGGCGGGCACCGAGACCAGCCCACAGCTGAGGCTGGCCTCTGTGTCCGGAGCAGCAGAGCGCCGTGGCCCGGCGGGCCGGCTTCCGCGCACAGGCAGGGCAGAAAGTGAGGTTCGGAACCGCTCCCGACCGCGGGGTCCCGCCAGGCACTCCGGATAACCTCTGCACCCCACTTCCAGGGCCGGGAGCACAGGACGTCTGCGGCTGGCCGCGGTCCAGCATGCGCGCCAGGGCGGCCCGGGGCGCCACCTCCAGCCTCTCCCGCGCGCCGGCGGGCTTCGGGACGCCGGCAAAACGGTCCCAGGTAACCGCGCGCTCGTCCGGCTGCGCACCGCCAGGCCGCGGGCGAAGGGCTCCCACCTCCTGGCTCGGCCAAGTCCGGCGGCTTGCTCCGCACACATGACGTAACCCGGTATTAGATCAAACTTTCTGGCACCTTGAACCCACCGGGGGAGGAGGTGTGGAGGATCTGGGAGAAGCGTCTCCACTGCCAGGCGCGCCGGCCCAGACTGACTCAGGGCCGAATGATTTCCTCACAGTTAAAGAGGAAAATAAAAACCTAAAGCTTCCGCTTCCCAGCCCCCCTCACTTCCCCTGGCCCGTGCGCTCTCTCTGCGCGCACCGGGAAAAGAAAAGGAAAAATTAAAAAAAAAAAAAAAAAAAACTTTGGGGATGTTTGGCGGGTTCTCCCCGCAGTCCCTGCGGACCCACGCTCCAGGCAGAAGCTCCCAGTGGCGCACACTGAGGGCTCCCCGCGCCCACCCCTGCGCCGGGATCGGGGCGCCGTCCAGCCTGCCCGGGCTGGGCAGCGGAGAAGTCCTGACTCCCCGGCTCCCGCCCTTTTCCGAGTCTCCCCGCGCACCGAAGAGGCAGCCGGTCTGGGCAGCCCGGGGACTCCCAGGGGTACCCGGCCTTTCCGCGGCCGCGTAACAAAGAAGGGCGAGACGCGAGCGCTTCCCGCCGATGCCTCAAGCGATCGGCGCCCCGGCGACTCGGGCTCCGAGGGTGCGCGCCGCCAGCGGCCGGTCGGCGCGATCCCCGCCGCCGCCGCCGCTCTTTGCGCAGAGCCCCGAGGCCCGGGAGCCCCGGCTTTCCGACCCTTGCTGCCTTACCTGGGGTTGCTGCTGTTCCAGTAGACAGCGTAGCGGTCGGCGACGGCCTTGGAGCCCGGGTCCTGGCTGAGCACACACATCCAGAGCACCAGAAACACCAGCGTCAACATCTCCACGTGCAACATCACGCCTGGCCAGCGGCGGAGCCCCCGACGCGCCACTCCGGGGAGAGAGCCGGGATCCGGAGGGAGGAGGCAAGGAGACAGAGAGAGCGGGCTCCAAATAAATATGAATAAATAAAAACGAAGGGGGGCGAGAAAGGAAAGAGGCGCACACCAAGCTGGGGAGGGGTAGGAGAGCGAGAAGAAAAGGAGGCGGTGGAGTGGGGGGGACAGAGACAAACTCGCACCCCCACCGGAGGGTTCGGGAGGAAAAAGGAATCGCAAGATGGAGAGAAGCGTGCGTGTGTGTGGTGGCAGCGGCGGCGAGGGCGGGGGAAGGGGTGCCGAGCTGTGTCTCGGGCGGCGGCGGCAGCCGGTCACCCCGGGAGAGGGAGGTGCGCGCCGGGCCGGGCGGCGGCAGCGCGGGTCGGGGCGGGCGGCGGCGCGCGCTGCACAGTCACCGGGAGTTGCGCGCCGCGGCCGCGGGGAGACATACACCGGCCCGCCGGGCCCGGCTCAGCGTCGACGCCGCGGGCTGCGCACGGCTCCGCCGCCGCCCGGGGCCCTCGCTGCGCGCCCCGCTTCGCTCCAAGTTACTTTGGCGGCCGGTGGGAAACTGGAGGCGGAGGGTGGCGCGGAGACAGGGGGCTGCGCGCTTGTGGCCCGGGAGTCCGAGAGCTCCCTTCCCCAGCCTCCTCTGTGCCTACGCCGGGCGACCGCGGGAAATCGCGAAGGAGTCGTAGGCGCTGCGGTGCCAGGCGGTGCGCCGAGAAGGGTGGGGATCCGGAGCCGCAAACCCGGCCCCGCCGGCGTCCTGGAACTGGTTAAGCGGCAGCTGCGCTGGCGAGGAGCGGTCTCGCCTCGAAAACCTCAAAGAAAAGTTTGGCTCTCCGCGTCTTCCGGCAGGTCCCCCGGCAGAATCGGACGGCGGCGGCGGCGGCAGAAGAGTGCAGCCTGGGTGCTGGCCGAGCCTCGGGGATTTCTCGCGCGTGCTTTTCTTGGCTGGGCGTGCGTGCACCAAAGTGAATGAAGAGCAGAGGGTGAGCGCCAGCCAGCCAGGCAGAGCCGGGATGCCCAAACCTGCAGGACGACGCCAACTCAACTGTTCAGCTGTGGAGCGGGAGGGGAAACAATCACTTTCAAATGGATCCCTCCAACTCCTGGATGGGCTGATGTCAATCTCCGATCGCCTTCCGGGAGCGAGACTGAGCGAGACTGAGCCCCCGCACGCGGTGCCCGAAGCCCGGAGTGAGCTCTCAGAAGTGTCCCTGCGACTCCAGCGGGTCCGACCCCAAGCCTAGCAACTTGTAGAGATGCACCAATCAGTTTCAAATGAGAAGAGAGAGAGAGAGAGAGAGAGAAAAAAAAAAGCGAGCGCACGAGCGAGTGGCACCTCCCCGATGACTACATCAGAGAACCTTCCCGATCCTCCCGCAGCTGCTCCTCTTTCCTTCCTTAGACGCAGCAGCAACAGAGGTGAAAACCACCAACCGAATCCTGAAACCCCTACCCAGGCGGGAAAATAAATAAACTTGAGTGCAGCAGCAGCAGCAGCAGCAGCAGCGGCGGCGGCAGCACGAGCAGCCCTGGAGGGATTGGAACGACTGGCAAGAAGTGGAAAGGGGTAAAAGTCAGTTTTGCAAAAGAGGAAAAAAAAAAAAAAGGAGAGAAAAAATGCTTTATGGGAAAAATCTCCTCGGGCACGCCCCCTCGTTAAGGACTTGCGTGTGAAGCCGACAGCAGCGGCGACCCGGCGGCGGCAGCCTCGGCGGAGCGCGAGGCCGCGCGCGTGGACGCGGACGTGGGCGGGGGGCGGCTCCGCCCGGGCGTGTTGCGGGGCGCGGGGCGCGGGGCGGCGGGAGCGCGGGTGTGAGCTCCGGCCCGAGCAGGGGGAGGCGCCGCCAGCCCGCGCCCAGCCTGCGCCGCTGCCGGGTCATGTGGACTCCTTTTTTTTTTTTTTCTCCATGCAGTTTACTTGGGAAGGGTGGAGGGTGATTGGAGCAGCCAGTCAGGGAACGGCCTGCTGTTTGCTTACAGCTCGGGTTTTTTTTTTTTTTTTCCTCTCTCTTTACTCCAACCAGATTGGTTTGCTCCGCGAGAAAGAGGCGTTTTCCTAATCTCCTCCCTTCCCCACGCCTCCTGCACCCCCCACACCCCCCGCCGCCCCACCTTCCAGAAACCTGACTAATTGAATTACTGGGAGTGCCGAGGCGCCCTCTCCTCCGCCCCAGCCTGGCAGCCACGTGTAACCCTTTGGGTGCCGATTTCCGTCTGGGCTGAGCAATGATTTGACATCTTTTTACCTGGGAGTAGGGTCTTTTCGATTTTAAAAGAATCAGTTCCCACCCTGTAGCTGGAGAGCCGAAATCTGTCCCTGTGGCCCCTCAGGTGACATGAAGTCCCAGCAGACGGGCTGGCGTGGAGCCTCAGCGAATGCGTGTTCTTGCAAACCTCTGCCCGGGTCTGCACCGCGCGCACCGCCTGGCGCTGGGTTAGCTGGAAATCTGAGCCTCTCTCCTGTGCCTCTCGACACCTATACCCCCACCCCGGCCTTCCTACCTGGGATTTAAAGGTTCTCGAGCGGGAAGCAAGAGTTTTCTTTAAAGTGATGCTCTGAAAAAAAAAATAAATAAATAAACACATTTTTTTAAAAATGAGAAAAGTCACAGTTTGGAGTGATTACAATGCAGTGCGAACCTTCCACAGGGAGCAAACGAATGCGGCAGGTGAGCCCATCGGAAATACCTTACACCTTTGCCATTTCAACCTTGAGGTTGGTTCACTGGCCGCTCCCCAAAGAATAAATGCCTCGAACCAACGCGGCGCGGGGAGAGAGGAGGGGCGGGGGTGGGAGGGGAAGGAGCTCGTTTATTGTTGGAAAAGGCCTCGCGTTCCTGGGCTTCTAGGGCAGGTTGCAGCGCCTAGGTCCCCGGCCCCGCCGGAGCGCGATCACCTGGCAGCGAGGCGGCCCTGGCGCCTGGGGATGCATCCCGTGTCGCGCAGCGCCCCCGTGCCAGCCCGACGCCGGCCGCTGCGGGGCCGGGGCCCCCGAGACCCACCCTTGCGGGGCGCCGCGGTATTTTTCTCTCTCTAGCTCTCTGGGGAGTTTGCTGCCCCCGTGAGAAGCGCTGATTCCCAAGGGGGAAAAGGAAAAAAAAAAGGCAGCTTAGTTTTGCTTCCAAACCTGCCTGTCCTCCCTTTTACGTATTAGCCCAATAAAATCGAATATCACGTTCTTTTCCCTGCGTTTTGCAGTCCTCGGGATTTCCAGGCGCTTCGGAGCTGTTTGGAAGCGTCCAGACGCCCTCCAGTGGTGGGCCTGCAGTCCGCACCCGGCAGGGGTATTGCCTGCAGCTCAGGCCGGATTGAGTTTGATGGAAAATCTAGGGTCATGATCAATAAAGACTTGAGGGGAAAGCAACCGTTCCTGCGGGCATGGTTACCTGAATGTTATGGGCCTAAAAGCTGAGTAGTTTCTCAATTACAGGAATTTTTCCTATCTGAAGAGGTCCTGAAATTGTTCTAGGAAAGTCACTGTTCTGTGACTAGATATAAATTGCAATCTGTATGATTATGAACTCCTCGACAAACCACCCTAACAAATCAACCATCTGCCTGAGTTTTTAAAGATTTAAACTCAAACTATCAACACAAATGCTCCTCTATCATCTTCCTAGTTTACAAAACTCCAGCAGTACGAAAAGTTAATTGAGAGAACCAAAACACATGCTTTTATTTTTTAAATCAAATTTTCAGTTAAAATATTATTTACTTTTTCGCCTGGTCTGTAGTCTTGCTGATGTTTGAGTTCTTGGCCTATTTTAGGGTGTGTTTACTTTCTTCTGTTGCAGGAAAGATGGATTTCTTTCTTCAGCCTTTCTGATAGTAGCTCTAAGTAGGTGCTCATATGACAGAGGCAGTTTTGCAGGAAATATTCTGGACCCTTTTAAGAGATATATATATATATATCTTTAGGAGGAAGAGAATTCACGACTCCTGTCTTGGGGAAAATGCTGATCCTTATTGAAGAGTCTATTTACACGGGGAACTATCAGGTAACAGGGAGCTAGCAAGCTGGCTTCCTGTAGTATCAAAGCCAAATGGGGGAAGGACAAAAAAGATACCCACTTCTTTCCCATTTGAAACAAATACTGTAACCAAATGTGAAAACTCAATATCTCAGAAGACTATGGATGTCCTAATATTTTAAACATCTCTAATTTTTTAAAGCCTAAATAGCCCCATTTTAAGCAGAAAAAAAGTAATATATACATTGTGGCCTTCCTTACAATGATTCACAGGGTTGGAATAAGATGTTGGAATTTGCAGCTGTTCAGGGCATAACTCAAATGTCTATGTGAAATGATTCATAATCCTAAATCAGATGACTCATGTGGTAATACACCTAATTATTGGTGTTGGAGTTACTAGGCAGCGATATGATAGATACATACAGTAGGTCCTCGCTTAACGTTGTTGATAGGTTCTTGGAAACTGTGACTTTAAGTGAAAAGACAGATATGGAAATCAATTTTCCCACAGGCCGATTGATTTATATTGAACAAGAGTTAAGTTCCTATGCCATAGTTCTGGTCACAAAACACTGCCAAACTTCCAGATAAAGGCCAAAACACTTCTAATATTAGACATTGAAATAAATGTGAGCGCTACATACATTTAAGAGAGCTTAATAAAAACAAGTAAAGTAGTTATTGACCCAATTATTCCAGTTCAGGGTCTCAGGTAGCCGGAGCCTACCCAGCAGCTCATGGCTCAAGAAGGGAACCAGCCCTGGATAGGAGGCCATGCATTGTAGGGTACAGCTCTACTTGAACGTAGTTTGAAGAGAAGTATTATTAACTGTACACTTATTGCTTGATAGCGTGACTTTGTCTCTTCAAGAAAACAGTCATGATTTAAATTTATACAAATCAGCATTGTATAAAATAATTACATTATGACTTTTCAGCTGGCCTTTAAAGAATAAGTAGAGTTTTGCCAAATATAGGAGGAGGTTCCGGTATGGACAGAAAGAAAATAGCAAGAAGGTAAAAACATGGAGGGGATAAAAGTTCAGGGAATGTTCACATGCTTTGAGTTTGACGAGACCAAAACAGTGTTGTAGGGAGCTGAGATCTGAAAAATAGGTTGGTAATGAACTGTAAAGGGGTTTATCTGACATTCTAAAAAGGATTTGATTTAAAGGTAAGCAACCGAGTGCACTGGTGGTTTTAAAACAAGAGCGCCATTGAAGCAATAATCTATATGGCTCAGATTAAAACACAAATAGGGATTTGTTTATCTAATTATTTAACTTTTTGACTTTGAACTACCTAGATCAGTGTTCTAACCTTGGCTACAAATTAGAATCACCTAGGGAACATCTCCAAAAAGAATAACGCCAGGGCCCTACTCCCTGTGTTAGTTGGATTAGGGGTGGAGACTTGGGATCTACAATTTTTAAAAGCTTCCCAGAGACTTCTAATAAATATAGAGGATTGAGAGACACTGATCCAGGTAATTTATTAATATTACTAGGCCGGGCTCGGTGGCTCACGCCTATAATCCTAGCACTCTGGGAGGCCCAGGCAGGCAAATTGCTCGAGGTCAGGAGTTCAAAACCAGCCTGAGCAAGAGCGAGACCCCCGTCTCTACTATAAATAGAAAGAACTTAATTGGTCAACTAAAATATATATAGAAAAAATTAGCCAGGCATGGTGGCATAGTGGCGCATGCCTGTAGTCTCCACTACTAGGGAGGCTGAGGCAGCAGGATTGCTTGAGTTCAGGAGATTGAGGTTGCTGTGAGCTAGGCTGACGCCATGGCACTCACTCTAGCCTGGGCAACAAAGTGAGACTCTGTCTCAAAAAACAATCATAATAATAATATTAATAAACTACTTTACTATTTCAGGCAAAAGTAAATTCTGCATCTATTTATCTGGAAAAGTATCCCAGCTAACCATTAAAGCCAGGATGTTGATACTTTAGAGAACTAGATTGCATAATCCTCTCTATTAAATGGAAGTGGTTTTTGTAAGTAATCTTTACATGGCACAAAATTATTTATGAG